TACACTTCAATCCTTTCGTTTTCGTATATTTTATGTCCAAAGTTCCCAAATAAATCATTCAACTCTGTCTGTACCTGTCCCGATTGTTATTTAATGTCTTCATTTTATGTTCTCGAATTTTATGCGTTTTTGTGAACGATTTTCCGTTTCGAATCGTATTTTTATCATCACAAAAGATACTTTGTTGGAAGTCAGTCAGTCCACCAAAATTTTCAACCAAATCTATACCTTAATTGTAAATAAGTCAAATTGGTAAATGAGATATGAGTAAAACATATAAATTTTTTTGTGGAGTGAAATTTATTAATTTTACTATTTGCTGGTATTGTTGAGGCATGTTGAAATTTTGTTTTCTTTTAAATCACATTTTAGAGCTTTATAAATAATTAACAATTAATGCTTTTGCTAATATCACAGATTAACCAAGAACAAATTAATTAATTTTGTTATTTAATTATAATTTTTTTTTATTATCTTATAAATTACAATCTGTTTAAATAGAAAGACATTGAGTAATTAATTTGACAAATAACATAGAATTTTAAAAGAAAAACCCAGTGGTTCGCCTTTTATTAATGTACTAAATTATATATAATTAAATTTTGTTATAATTTTAATTCTAATATATAAATTTAAATTTTAAAATTGTAGTAAAAAATTGTATCTTTGAAGTACTTAAACAATCACTTAACTTAACATTAACAAATGTTAACAATATATATCAAATATAATATAATATATATAATCATATATCACAATGCGATTTTAAAGTAATTGTTAGTCCACGTACTATTTTATTTAAAAAAACGTATTTAATTTACGTAACTTTAAATTAAATTTATTTTACTACAAAATTTAAATTCTATTTATATTTATTTTTTTTGCATAAAGAATTCTAGTTTATAACATAAATAATTACTAGATGTAATTTATATAATTATTAAAAAAATTATATTAAATCATGAAGTAAAAACAGATGTCCCATACAAACCGGTACGCCTTATCTGCCTCTAACCCGGATCTACGCCTTGTTTTAGGTTAAATGTCATTTTAGCCTACCGACTTTATATGGAACACCGGATTAATATGATAATTTTTTTTTTTAATTTTTATTTTTATATTTATTATTATTATATAATGATGTTAGTTATATTTTGTGATATTTTCACTATTTGTTAGAATTTTTTTGTATTCAAATAAATTAATATTAATTTTATTACACTAACAATAAATTATTTTAGTAAATTAAATGATTTTTGTAGTGTTTGTTAGTTCTTTCTGAATTTAAGTTAATATTTATTTTTTTAAATTAATGTTTATTAAATTGATATTTATTGCTATTATATTAATTTATAGTTTGTTAAGTACAATAAAACAAAAAAATTAATTTGTAGTAAATAAAATGATTTGTGTAGTATTTGTTAGTTCTTTCTGAATTTAAATTAATATTGATTTTATTGAATTAATATTTATTAAAATTGATGTTTATTTTATTTAAGTATATATTTAGGTAATCAATTAAAGAAATTAATTTTTTATATACTATATATAGTTTTGATGAATTTTTAAAATGTTAATTCATTTTGCATTTAAAGTAATTCTTTAGATAAATCTTTTTGCATTTGAATTAATTGTACTTTATTTTACAATCGAATATTTTATTTATAAATTATATTTTTTATTTCTTATTTTATTTTATGGTCTATTTCAAATAAATTTTCAAACAAATTTTTTGATATAAATAATTTTGTAATTATCATTTTATATGCTTAGCTTTAATAAAACTTTGTTCTAGCTTTTTATTCGTTTTTAATTAATTTGTTCTTGTAAACTTTGATAAAAAAAATATATAAAAATTACAATATACAAAAATTCTATGGTTGTTGGAAAATATATTTGTTATAATTAGCGAGGAGTTCAATTTTTTTTAGTTATTTAACCGATTCGACACCTCATGAGTGTCATCATTCAGAAAAAAAACCAAATCACAAATTGTAAATAAATTTATAAATTTATGTATTACTATTTAATATTTTTAGATAGAAGAAAATGTTTAATTAACAATAAGCACGTAACTAACTATAGCGTAAATTCTATTTTATAACAAAAATTGTCGAAGAGAAAATCTTGAATATATGACAATGCAAGGATTTTTAATTATAATATATATATATATATATATATATATATATATATACATGTTACTACAGCCTCGGGCTCTGTCACATAAACTACGTTCTCTGTGCAAAATATATTATATATTTCACAAATATTTTGCTATACTCTGTTCAACAAATTAATATAAAAAACACAAGTTAATGTATATATGATAGTGCAAAATTGTGTTCCTTGCGCTAGCTACTGATGTAAGACCATATTTATATCCACTGATGATGACATAAAATACTATGTCGAAACGTTTGGAAAAATTAAAGATTAATTTCTAAATCTTTGCCTTTTATTTGATGTATGCCCTTGAAGAACTTACTCATATATATATATATATATATATATATATATATGTATAATATATATATATTTAAAAATACAAAAGGTGACTCAAATATGTCAAGACGTGATTGATTCATTATCAATTTCTACGATTTTCAACACAAACGTCAATTTGAAAAAGACACCTTTTGTATATGATTTAACCCTATCTTTTGTCAGCTTGACAATACATTTTGAAGTAAAATCTTAGACTCGTTATTAGAAATATATATATATATATATATATATATATATATATATATTATATATATATATATATATATATATATATATATATATATATTTATATTATCTAAGTCGATTACAAGTGTGTTAATTCGTCGTCAGAAGGATGAGACGAAGCCCTTCAGCCCAACAAAGAGGGATGATTCCCAAAAGGGGCGCGAGATGTAGTGCGAAAGCCATCTAAATATTTTTGGTCGCGTCTTTTGCCAAAGCATCCCCATGGGACAGATAAATGTTATGACATAACTTAACTGGGGAGAATATATATATATATATACACGTATATATATATATATATATATAAATGACTTCTATGCTTAAAGGTAATCTGTGGACTAAGTAAAACTCAAACCGTCTTTGCCAATTCACACCGCAGTGCCCAAATAGAATGTACATAATAAATAAATTTGTTCAAGGATGAAACATATTTAATCATTTAACAGCTAATGTGTCAAAATAAAATTTAAGATTATTTAAATTTTTACAGTTTAGAAAACAAATTTATCTCATCAAACATCAAACACTAAATGATGAAATTACGTACACCGAAAAAATACACAAAACCGAAACACATTAAATTCGTAATTTTTTCTTAAAAAAATCTAACATTTTTATTTAAAATTCAATAATTTTAGACTAGTAAAGCGCAAAAGCTTTATAATTAAATATAACTAAATGAAGATAAAAAAAATTAAATTATTTCTTAAAATTTTTAAAATACATAGATATCTATATATAAAATTATTATTACTAATGCAAGAAAATCAATTATGTATATTTTAAAAATGTAAAAAACAATGACCGAAAATAATAAGTATCATGAAAATGATATATAAAATATCTACCACACATTTTTTTACAAAAAAAAAACCCAAACCAATTTTAATTGCAAATCTGTAATTTTTTAATATTAACTTATAACTTTGCTTTTATATTTTTATTTTTTGTTTTTATTTTTTTGATTTATTATTATGAATTTTAGATATTTATTTAACTAACTTCCTCTGAGGTAAGTTATTGTAATCGTCCAAAAATCAAAATTAAAATTTTTTGCATATCTTCACGTTTTGAAAGTTTCTAAACATTTTGGCATACTTTAGATACATAGGATGTGTGTGTTTGTATGTATGTATGGATACAATTTTTCGTCCACGTTTTCGGGCGCACAGATCAACCGATTTGAATGGTTCAAAAAACATTCGATTCCTATTGATAGGGAGATGTGCTGATTAGTTTTTGGCAAAGGCAGGTCCAGCCGTTATGGAGATACGGAGCAAATAGTGCAGAAAATACAAATCGAGTTTTAGAGAGAACGGAGTATCGAATTTGAATGACCTAAAAAAACATTCAATTTGTAATGATTGGGAGAAAGGGTGATTAGTTTTTGGCAAAGATAGGTCCCGCCATTTCGAAGATACTGAGCTAAATGTGCATGTTTTTGAGAGAACTAAGCATCCGATTTGAATGATTCAAAAAAAAAATCTGCTTGTGGTGACGAAACGATTGCTTTTGGAGAAAAAAAATTCTATAGTTTTGTATATAGTTTTAAACAAATATATATAATTATAAGTAATTTAAAATATAAGTGCTTTGTATTTTTGAATGCAAACTTAAAATATACCGTGTAAAAAAACATTTGTCTTATTCAATTTGTATAGATTTGTCACACCTTGAATTTATATTAGACATTACATAATAAATATAACATCACCAATTAAACTTAATACAAATAAAATAAAATGATTTTATATAGATACCAGATTATTCCAAAAAATCAAGTAATGAGACCCATAGATAAGGAAAATGAGGCCTGTAAATAATAATGCTTTTTAATATCAGATTTAAAGTTTAACCAGTGTAAATTTTTTATATAGTAAATTAATATTAGATCTATGTTTTAAAAGTATCTAAATAAATACCGATAAAAAAGAATAAAAATTAATATGAATTAATTAAATAATTATAAATTTGCAATATTAATAAATAATGTAGACTAATTTTCTAAAGAAGAATTTAACAGGAGCACATATCTCACTTTTTTTATTTGTTTAATAACTGGACCGATGGATAAAATTTATTATATATATATATATATATATATAATAATATTTATAAAAATATATATATCATACTGACCTCTCTCGTTCCATCTCCGAATCGAATCTCCTCCAGTAGAAATCTTTACTGACATATTTACACTGAACATTTTTTCACCAAGAGGTCACATCAACCTTTGATTAAATTTTAGAGATAAACAACTTGAATAACACATCACACTAAAATAAAATTATCTAGTACTAAATATTCTATTATTTTTATAAAAATGTTTATATAACTTACATAAACACTATAACAACCCAAGAATTCTGCGAAAAATTCAACAATGTCATCGAACACTACCCGAAGGCTGCTGAAGACATGGCTAAGCAAAGACCTTTCGGAAACACCGAGGAATTGATACAGAAATTTAGTGATTATTTGGAAAATTTACCAAAAACAGGTAATAATAAATGATTTGGTAATGTGTTTTACTTATTTATTATATTTTCTTTTAGAAAAAGAGCTGATTTTAAAGCTACATCCAGATTTAGCTGGAAGATTGCTTGATATTGGCAACCTAACACCTGAGTCGCAGAAGGAGCAGGAGGCGGCAGGTTTGCACAAATTGTCTCAAGAGGAAAAACAGTTGATGACCGACTTGAATTTAGAGTATGGCATACCTGGTTTATTTGTATTTTTAAAATTTCCGAAAGACAGGGTTGTCTAAGATAATTTACATAATTCCAAAACATACTTTATTGAATGTTCTTAATTTACAACAATTTTCGTAGGCTCTTGTTATTTTAAAAAAGTTTCATTAAAAACCAGAAAAAAGTTTTGGTGATTAATTACGTTGTCAGAAGATTAATTAGAACGATTCCTAACTGATGTCTCTCGAACAGTTTTTGAATTTTTAGTTTTTTTGCACAATTTTCTGCTAATAGCAAAGAAACAGCTCGACTGATCGTTGGCCAAAACCTAGTCCGGAATTAAAAATCGGATTTTCTGACAACTTTTCTCAACAAACTTTTTTGGAAAGTTAAAAAAATGATTTTTTTTTTTAAATTAGAATTAATAATTTAATTTTATACCATTGCAGTATTTATCTCCAACATATTTTGTATTTATTTATTCACAATTATCCTCAAAATCCTTATAACGACCTGTGTACGAGTGTCGACTTTAGACGACATACAGCGTTTGTGACCTTTGCTTCAAGGTTTTTCACTATGAGCAAAAATAAAGATATTTCATCTAATTCGTTATTACAATATTTAGTTTTTTTAGAGACGACCTATGCGTACAATTGTCACCTTTAGTCGCCGAACGTACAGCGTATGAACCTTTATTTCAAGATTTTTCACGAATTGGAAAAATGAAAACTCTCATTCGTTTTATTTAATTTTTAGTTTGCACAAGCAACATTCATATAACGACCTGTGGGTATAAGTGTCGCCTTTACACATGCAACGTATCGACTTTTGGTTCAAATTTTTTTACTACAAGTAGAATTAATGTGAATTCTAATTAGTTATTGTTATATTTAGTACTTTAGAAATATAATTTTCAATCCACGTGATGAGTGTCGCCTTTAGATGACAAGCAGCGTATCGACCTCAGCTTGAACATTTTTTAGTATGAGTAAAAAATAATGAAAATTCTAATTTGATATTGTAATACATATTTAGTTTTTTAGAAGTGTAATTTTCAATGCACATGACGAGTGCCGCCTTTAGATGACAAGCAGAATGTCGACATTTGCTCCAAAATTTTT